CACACACACACACACACACACACACACACACACACACACACACACACAGAAAAAAAGCACAAAGATTTCACGCAGAAGGAGAGCACTGCAATCAAGCCATCAATCGATTATTCTTTGGCAAAGTACTGCCCCTTCTGATCTACGATCCAAATCTTTTGCAAAACGTTACCTATGCAACCTAGCATTCATCCGGTAGGCTTTCCCTCACATTTCTTCTCCATGACCAATCGGTCCATTAGACGGACAGATAGCAGGTTTGCCAATCAAACATACACAAGTAAAAAGGCGGGAAAGAAGTGCAGTAAAGTGGCGGGAACGGATTGCATGCCAGATCGACGTCAAACACTTCGCTTTTCGGCGGATGCTCAAGAATCTCGTCAAACACTTCGCCTAACACCGGGTTGAATTGTGACGTCCCCGGCCTGTTTCCTATGAATTTTCCAAAAAAAAAAAAAAAAAAAAAAAAAGAATCTCGTGATCGAGATGAAAAAAACTTACCCTCCTCCACTTTCGCCGAAATCCTGGATCCGCAACTTCACACCAATGCACGATTTCCGACGACCGCGTGGGTGCAGTGGCCCGGATCCCGCTCCCGATGGCGACGCCGATCCCAACTCTGATCCCGACCCCGATTCCGCTCCTGGTACCCATCCGGACGGCCCTGTAACAGAGCTAATCCTAAGATTGCGCTCCTGACGTTCACCAGAGGTAGCAGCAAGTGCCTCCTCCTCTTTCTGTTTGGTCTGCTCTCCGTTGTCCTTACGCATGCGGCTGACACATGGCTCTCTTTTGCCTTCCTTCGCGAGGCGTCGGAGGGGCACTCCCTCGCCCTCGATCTTCGAGCCATCGTGCGTCAGCCTCTCTGTATCCACATGAGCACGCCCTACGATGTCTAGGGACTTTTTTTGCCCGACGTCAGCCGGAGACGGACTGCTGTACGCTTTTCGATTTCCCGCCCTGCGATTTGCTGACCAATCTCCCGCCTCGCGCTCTGGGTGAAGGCGCCTTGATGCCGCTCCTTGACGCCAATCGTCCATCATACCCATGGCTGCTCCTTGACGCCAATCGTCCGTGATACCCATGGCTGCGCCCCATTCTAAGAACTTGGCCACCATTTGCAATTCCGATTGCCCAGTTTCCGCCATGCCACGTCAGCACGCCGGGTGAAAGAAGCGGGGTGCTCGGAAAGGGCAGGAGCGGGAGGTGCCGCACGCGACGACGTGCCCAGCATCCACGGTGGGAACTGCTGGCCCGCATGCGAGCCACTTGAGGGAGTCGAAGAATTCCAGAGAATAACCAGAGGGGTCTAGCTGATGACCGAGGTGGGGAAAGACGGATGGTGGCCGCGGACTAACTGATGACAGAGGCTACCAGGTAGGGTCCCTCGAAAAGGAAAGGGTTCACCTATGGGACTTGTAGTAGAATGTCTACCCCTACCAGGGCTCGAAGTACTCGTAGAACAGGGCTCGAAGTACTCGTAGAACAGGGCTCGAAGTACTCGTAGAACAGGGCTCGTCAGACTATGCTTCAATCAGGGCTGAGGAGGAAGGGGTCAAGGGGAAGTGGGTGATGACGGGGTACCAGGGGGAGCCTCCTGATCTTTCACACTCGACAGTCCTTGTTTCCCGACATGGACATTCCTTGCTTTCCCACATGTTATGCTTGCCCGTGATGAGCGACCGTACTGGTGCCCCCCATAATTTTTTATTTTATTTTTTTTCCTCAAAGGCCGGGGACCTCCGCATCACTCCCAGGACCTTGTCCCACGTTGAGTTTTCAACGACGTGTGACCCGCTGCGACACCGGAGATTCGAGGAGTTATGTACATAGCGCGGTGGATGATTGTCGTTTCGGGATGCCCTCCCAGTTCATATTTTTGTCATCGTAAAAGCACTGAAAAACAAGTTTTTTTTAACTTTTTTCCTTTACAATGCCCCTACCCTTCCACTTTCTGGTTGAGCTAGCTGTTTTTTTTTTTTGTTTTTTTTTTTTTTAAGGGCGACGACCTTGAGATATCATCATTAAGCTGACCGGTCATAGGTAATTCAGAAATAGTTGGTTTTACAACTTTTACTCATCAACTTTCATCATGTGGATTCGAACACAGGTCTGTATTTTCAACAGTTCATGGGTGTACCCACTGAGCTAGGTTCTTGGGTTCTGTCTCGTTTTTTCGTCTCAGATGGCTCAACGAGGCGACTTTCTTTTTTATTTTAGCCGAATCCTTCTTTTTTTTCCCATTATTGTTGATGTTAAACCATTTCGTCAATCCGTTATCCACGGGATGACGGAGTCCCTTGTTTTTTGCCATTTCACACCATCGCCCTTTCTTGCATGGTGTGTTCGTTTGTATGGGTCCCAGAAAACGTCCTGGTTCATAGGCTGGCGGCAAATGGCTTCATGAAGTTTTTGTGTCACATATGTCGATTCGTGGATAGCTCGTGGTATTTATGTGGAATGGTGTGTCAGAGGCACGGACTTTCCTTTTCACACCTGGAACCTCACAATGACTTATCGCATGAGAAAAAGAATAAAAAGCGAAACACAATCCTGAATCTTAAAAATAAAAAAAAAAAAAAAAACACCATTTCTTTATAATTAAAAAATATTTTTTATCAATGTCACACTGTTGAGTTAGCTGAAATCAATGGTGCATGTGGGACAAGGCCCCTGGGCCACAACGTCTGGAAGCATCATCCAGTTTAGCATACAGTCTTTCGCTACAGACCCACACATCTCTTTGGCTGTTGCACTACCTTTGACAAGCAGTTATAGTTCCTCATCTTACTATCGGGTTTCTACGCAAAAAAAAAAAAACATGTATAAAAAACAGCTATCATATAACCACTACCAAGATCCTAAATCCTACATCCTAAGTGCAAACAAATACACAAAAGTACACCCTCATAATTTCGAGGTGTGGAAACCACAATTCCAAAAGGGCAACAAAACCAGATACAAAAGAAAAAAACTCCTAATGCGAAGATTGGATCCTAATTCGGGACCAAGGAGATAAATAACGCTCCCTCCCTCCTTACGTACCCGACCAATTTATATCGTTTTCTACTGGACTTAAGATCGAGCGTTCACGTCTTATCTAAGTGGTAAATAACCACTTTGAAACCAGCAACTTCTATGTTTTTACCTCAACAAGTTTTCTCTTTCTGGCTCAAGTATTATGAAACCATCTAGTGCTAGCGAGTTTTCTACCCTCTTTCACTACGGCACTACTTTCCTGTTCCAAGCACTTTTGATGGTCAACATTATATTGTGTTAGATTTTCGTTTTAATGGTCATATCATATAAGAATTTTATTTTGAATACCAATAAGTTTCTCTCGTCTCAAATCACCCATAAGATAACCGCTCTGATTGCATAAGCAATATAGCTTCATTCTTTGTAGCCCTGCGTTTGCAGAATCTTTGCGTCAATTTGTCTGTTAAAATTTTTAAAAATACACTGAGCATATTCGATGTGATGGATATGCATGTGTCACACCATTCACCGAAAGATTGAAAGCGGTACTTGTTGAAATCCCAACTTTCCTAAAATTTGTTTACGCAGATTAGGACATTCGAATCCTCGAGGTTACGAGTATTCAGTCTTAAGTACCTTCTCCCTCTTTCTTGAGAGTCGGGTTGTTTGAAAAAAACAATAAATAGTAATATGAAATCGGTTATGAAACAACCTTCACATTAACAACTGTTTCGTTCCATTGTGGGCTTGCTAAAAAAACATCTAGCGTTCTATGGCAGCCCATTGTTCCTCCTTCTTATGCTGCACAAAACCAAGTTTCTCTGTCATTTGCTCGAAGCATGAAAAAAAAAATTAACAAGTTTTCACTATAGCATTTATTCCAGCAAGAGGATTTTATCTGTCGCTCTGGCATCGTGACCTCTATGCCATTTAACGTGCAATTCTAGTCTCTAACTATCAACAGGTTGTCTACATTTAGGGTGCGTGATATGAGCTCACGAAAAAAAACTATCCTCTCGAATTTATCCATCGTGACATATATTTTCATCATTGCCCAATCAACTCCGTTATTGTGCAGTTTCACCCATGTTTTTTTTTCTGGTTTCAAGTTGATGCGCGGTTCAACTGGCAGAACCTTGCCATCTGGGTGGATTCACCAACCTTCTATCCTGAACCCCCAATTCACCCTCATGTCTATTGCCACAAAAACAACTGTCAATTGTGTGTGACAAGACTCTCAAGGTATTATGGGACACTTTCATTTGGACGGTAAGGTTGTCTGCAAAAAATGAGGTTATAGGGATGAGATAAACTGAAATCTTCGGGATGTTTATCCTCTTGATTTTTGGGTTGAGAATATTGTTGCTGCCAAAGCCTCCATTATAAGAACAAAAAGCAACGATGCTATAAGATCCCCTTGGCACAAAGACCTCTGGAAAGAGAATGGGGAGGATAGGTGGTCATTAAACATGATCTTTGTGGGGGCGAACTTGTGTAGCTTATTTATCGAGACTCTGAATACTAGTCTAAAGTCATAAATATAGGCTCATATCCATGAAAATGTAATTCACGTGATCATAAGCCTTTTGGAAATTAATGAACAAAGTGGCTGCCTCACATTTTCTCTCCGTGGCATATTTTATGGTCTCGTTGACCAACATAATGTTATCCTGAATATTTATCTGGTGCATGAACCTAATGGATAGGGTGAATAAGAAGGTTGATAAAAGGGATCCGACGATCCTTGAGAAGATCCTAAACGTGCAACCAGAGTTCCTTATAAAATGTGTTAAGTCTTGAAATGTTTTCATCATCCATAGCCTACAAGGTCTCCTAAAGTTATTTTGACTTAAGGGAGTCATCGAAACCCTTATTTAATAGTTTTCCTTACCACAAATGCAAGTTTTATTTATTTATTTTTCAGGGGAAAATGACTTTTGTACCCCACTGAAAAATGTGAATATCCACTATACCCAGTCGAACGCCCAACTTGCATCTATACCCAGACCTCCTTCAATTTAAGGTGATGCCCTATTTTTTTTGTGTGCCAACTTATATTCGGACTCAGTCTCACAGGCCATGGGCTAGGGAGCACAAAATTATGCTTATGTCCAGGACCCCACACACAAAATTGGGTATACACATAATTTGTCGGGTATGTGCATAATTAACATTATGGTAGTTGAATATAACTGCAATTTAGCGTTAACAACCTTGGTCCTCCTCCGTCGTGGGTATATAAATAATTTGCACATGTAAATTTTCGGGTAATGATACAAGTTGGTCACTGGGGTTGGGTATAGCAAGTATTTTCATCTTTAAATGGGGCACAAATACTTGTGTTTTTTTTTTTTTAACAACCAATGTAAGAGAATTGCTGACAAAAAAAAAAAAGAAGTAAGAGAAAAATAGGACGCGGTCATGGTTCAAGTTTCAAAATACATTCCAAACACAGTTTTTGCAATCCAGTCCGATCGAAAGTTTACAATGCAGTCGAAACTCCGCGTTGCATAAAAGTCGTATTGCAGAGTTTGTAACTTCAGTCCGTTTTTTTTTTTTTTTTTTTTTTCGGGTCAAGCCGAGGTATTGGCTAGGCCATTGACAAGATGCCTTAGCCACGCCCGATATTAAAAAAATAAATAAGTTAATAAATAAATACGCAGGAGTCACAAAAATAAGTCATAATTGCACTATGGGCCACGATACAGTTTTAAACTGTTGTTCGGGCAACGTATATAATCCAACTATTTGGCCATGTAGGGTGCTCGAAGTGCAATTGCAAACTGTATTTTGCCCCATAGTACAATTATAACTCATTTTGGTGACTCTACTGAACTCTCCCCCCTAAGAAAACGGACACGTGTTTGACTGAACTTCAGTTGCCAGTTAGAAACTCGGCGGTATGACTTTTCTATAAAGCGGAGTTTGGAGTGCTAAAACGCAGTTCGAAGAACATTTAGAAACTGCTTTCGTGATTGCGCCTTGGTTACCCCAAAAAGTAATCATCGATGGTCATAAGCGAGAGACCATGTGGATTGTGCGAAACCACATTCAATTTGTCGACAATGGATGGGAAGCAGGGTTAATAGTCATGTTCGGTGATTCAGTCCTCATCGATATATGACCCATGACAAAAAAAAAATCAAAACGAGTATGGCTACTTCAGGTTTTGAGTTTCAAAAAGCAAAACAAACTCATGTTGACAGATCTGTTGCCGTGCATGTCCCAAATGGT